CCATGCTTGCCCTCCTGGTTTGCCCTACAATACAGGTGGTGGAACCTCCACTCTCCTGTTTGACAGATTATGGAACTGAGGCCTAGGAAAAATAAGGACATGAAGGTACACCTGAAATGCAGGTGCCTTCCCTACTCATTCTCCCCACTACCTCCTGCTCCAGATTCTACCCTATACTAGGAGAGACTGCTGGGTGAGTGCAGCAGAGTTCACAAGTCTCTAGCCCACAGCTCCCAACAGCTAGCTACACTGTCCCTAGCCCTGTCCACGAAGAGCCCCACAGAACCTGACCTTCCAGGCCCATTCTACTCCCAGCCTAGGCTTCCCTCAAGCCTCACTGGCCTTGTCTCATGTGCTTGGGGCCAGTGATTACTCTTAAGGTACTGCTTCCTATACTGTCTTAGGTATAGGAGACCAGCCCTCCTGCCCTCCATCCTATGGGAAGGGTATAGAAAGTCATCCTGTATCCCTGCTCAGTTACAACTTGTCCATCATCCCCAGCCTGCATGTGCCTTTATGGCCACATTTTCTTCATGGATAGAGGCCCCTCCTTTGCTGGAAAGTCTTTCCAGATATCCACTCCCTAGGAGTGGTTTTTCAAGACAGGGTTTCTCTGTGTAGCTTTGGAGCCTATCCTGGAACTCCTCTGTAGACCAGGCTGGCCTAGAATTCACAGAGATCCGCCTGGTTCTGTCTCCCGAGGGCTGGCATTAAAGGCGTGCGCCACCACCGCTCGGCTTCCTGGGAACCTTTATGTAAACCCCTTGTTATCCAGCACAGTTCAGCATGATGGTCACAGTGTAAAGACTCCTCACTCCACCAATAAAGTCTTGCTGCCCAATGCTAGACAACCCATTCCATCCGCAGATAAAGAGATGTGTGGAAGTGGGACCAGCCAGGCTTGGGTTCAATCCTCTGCAACCTCTAACCTGAGCTAACCCCACCAGGACCAAGCCCCTTCCTCCCCAGCCCCAGGCTTCTGTTTCCATCTCAACTCCACATTCTGAGACTGCACAAAGCCCGGAGCCCCACGCTGGCTCAGCACTTGGAATCCAAATTTTCTTGTCCCTGGGACCAGCACAGGAACACAACCCCTTCTACCCTGAGTCCTGGCTAAGGGTAGCATCCCAGCCACCTGTCTGTGCCCCTAGAACTACCCAGAGTCCCTTCCCAGGGTACATAGCCTCCAAAAAGGGCTTAACTTTCCTGCCCTCAGTTTTACCCTTAATAGCAAGCCCACAGGAGTAGTTGGGGAGGCTCTCAGAGGTCTCTGATTATCAGATAGAGCCTCCCAGGCTTGGTTCTAGGGCCTCATATTCCCTCCAATACCCGCACCATTTCTTGGTGCCCACAGTACCTCCAGGGCTCCAATCTGCAGCAACCAAGGCAGCTGGCTGTGGTGTGCTCTCAGAGCCTCCAGCTTGCCTGCTCTGGGTGGAGGAACCTGTTTTCCAGGTTTGTGGTGCCTGTAGAGGGGCCTCCTGCCTAGGGCATGCCCCACCCTAACAGTCATGTCCTTGTACATGAACTGCTCCTGGGAGGGTTGTTAACCAGTCCCTCTGCCCCTCTACAGTTAAAGACAGGGTACAATGGAAAATTTAAGGAGCCCCAGGACTCACCCTTGCTCCAAGCCCCAGGTGGTAGGGCAGGCCTCCTAAAACCCATCAGACTAAGGCAGCCTTCCCCTCACCATTCCCGCAGAGAAAGCATTGGTTCCCAGGAGGCCAGCTGACCAGTGAGGACAGGGGCTCTAGAAGTCCACTGAAGGATCACCTGGTGACATTCCTGCCTCAAAGCAGGTGTGGACCCAACAGTACAACCCCAGGGCTAGATCAGGCAGAGCAACGTACTTGCTGCACTTCTCCTTCTTTCCTGCTTCACCACTGTCTTCCTGAGTGGCAGCTGTGTGGCCAGCCCCATCCCAGGCTTGATGTACACAGCAACCACCAAAACAGCAAATCCCTCCCGGGGCAGAGGGAAGCGTTTACAAGGACTCACACAGACTCGGGCAAAGGAGAGCTTGTGTGCTGACTCACCATCTCATTCACCAGTCTGCTAGGTGGTGATAGAAGGAATAACTAACCTGGGATAGAGGGGACACCTGCTGAGCATCCCCTCCCAGTTTCCTGGCCTCCCAGCCCTTGCCTACTCCATCCCTGCCTCCCCCACATCTACAGAACTATGGTAAAAATGATCAGATAAGATGGGTATAGAACTAAGTGGATAAAGTGCTTGTTGTCCCACTATGAGGACCACAGTTCAGATCCCAGAGCTCACCTGATGGGTGAGGTGGCCCACCTGTAATTTCAGCCTTGTAAGGCAGACACTGGGGTCCCCAGAGCAAGCTAGCTAACAAGACTAGCCATATGGGCAAGTTCTGGGTTTGACTAAAAGACCCTGTTCCAATGAATAAAGTGGAAGCACAATCCAGGATGACACCAAATATCATCCTTGCACTACCACCACCACCACACACACACACACACACACACACACACACACACACACACACACCACATATACCCACACTTATGCAAACATGCATACACACATATGCATACAACACACACAATAAGTTTAATTATTTAATAAAATTAGAAAACAGTGTGGCCAGAGCTAGCATTCCTGGCAAAGAACATCAGGTAGGACAATGAAATACCCAGTGTATGAAGAATATAGAAGCAGTTGTTGAGGGGCAAAACTATGAACACTGCCTATAGGATGGCTGACCTTTGCTCCAGAACCTCCTGTGTCAGAAATGCAGAATTTCATCCTGTTCCAGATCCACTACCCACCTGCATCTCTATGTGGACCCAAACAATCCATGTGCCCAGCACTAGCATGGCAGGCGCTCAATAAACACCAGCTAATCACCATCATTATTCCTGATCTACAGACCAAAAAGCTGAGGCCTACCAAGTAAAGAAATGTGCAGGACACACCTTGTCCCTTGTCAATGGCACAGGGCTAGTGAGGGCCCCGAGGGGGGCAGTCAAAGGCCAGCCCAGAGATGCTCCAGTGCAATGTCCCCAAGGAACCCCACTGTGGTGATATTGTGTTCCCCAAAATATTGTGCATCCTAATAAACTTATCTGGGGTCAGAGAACAGAACAGCCACTAGATATAGAGGCCAGAAAATGGTGGCACACACACCTTTAATCCTATCACTTGGGAGGCAGAGATCCATCCGGATCTCTGTGAGTTCAAGGCCACACTGGAAACAGCCAGGCGTGATAACAAGAGCCTTTAATCCCAGGAAGTGATGGCAGAAAGGTATATAAGGTGTGAAAACCAGGAACTAGAAGCTTTTAGCTGGTTAAGCTTTCAGGCTTTCGAGAAGCAGTTCAGCTGAGATCCATTTGGATAAGGACACAGAGGCTTCCAGTCTGAGGAAACAGGATCAGCTGAGGAATTGGCGAGGTGAGGTGGCTGTGACCTGTTCTGCTTCTCTGATCTTCCAGCGTTCACCCCAATACCTGGCTCCGGGTTTGTTTTTATTAATAAGACCATTTAAGATTCCTGCTACACCCCACTGCAGTTGATAACGGGGAATGACACTCGGCTCACAGACTGGGGTGGCCCTCAAGGAGCCCAGGAGGTAGATATGGGAGAGTCAAAGCCAGGACTAGACCTGTCAGTCACACCTCTGGTGTCTTCCCTCAAGTCCTCAGGACCCTGGCCTTCTTGTCCTCCATCCCTGCAGCAGAGGGGAAAGTTTACAAGGAGTTGTCACAAGGCTCAGGCCCAGGACCGCTGTGCTTCAGACAAAGAGTGGTCAAAGGGAGGTGATGGGGCACATGTCCTGTCCCCCAGCAAGAACTCTCACTTGACCCCCACCTCAGAGTCCTGGAACCCTAGAATACTGAAAAGCAAAGAGGGACTCCAGGCCAGATAACTGATTTACAATGATGTCACTGCTCATCCCGCCCACCCACTTTCTCTCCTTGCTAAAAGGCCTCTTGTTTCCCAGTCTGCAGGATATCTTTGGGGTAATAGTCCCTAGCTGCCCAAGCTAGTAAAACAAATGGGCTGATGGTGCCACCTGCCGGCCAGCCTGTGGTCTGTTCCTTAAGAAGAACCCCTGAGAGGAGGCGGCTAGGAGTGCCTTATATCCACAGCCCACAAAGGAGGAACCTAGGGGTCAAAACACCGGTCCACAGCTGAGACAGAGTACGTGGCTAGGATTTGAACCCATGGAGAGAGACACTTAAGCGTCTCGCTGGGAACAGATACTTGGGATAATGTTTCTGGTCTTGCTCCCCATGGTTAAGAGGAGAATCCAGAAAATGCAGTCCCATAAAAGGAGCAGTCCATGAGGGGACACTCAGAGCAGGCCATACCTCATAGTTATGTTAAAACCGAGCTTCTGAGTTTGAAGAGAAAAAAGTTTCCTAGGGACACAGCAGCCTTGGGCCTTCAAGGAACCAGCATTTCAAACTGTTATATTTGATTTGGCGAGACGCTTGTGCCTCTGCCTGAGACGTGACTGCCTCCTGGCAGTGGTCAAAGGTACTACCTGGGGCTGTCCAATCCAAGCCAAAGAAACCAGGGCAGGGGCAGCCGGAGGAACTCCAAAACAGAACTGGGGACTTCAGTAGTCAGATGAGATCACATGACTATCCTAAAATAGTCCACTCCTACAGTCCCAGGGACATGTACCTACTGCCAAAAAACTCAACCTGAATCAAGCAAAAAACACATCTGCGAGGCTGAGGTCTCTCGGGGTCTCGCCCGCCACGACAACATCCCTCTCAATATTCGCTACTCCACTACGTGGCTCCGCCCTCGAAGCACAGACCACACACCCCTTGCTCTGCGTGGCTCCACCGAAAGCACCGACCCCACCCCTCTTGCGTGGCCCCGCCCCCACCCCTGCCTCCAATAGCTCCGCCCCTAGATGCCCGCCTCTCCCGTGGATTGCCCGCCTCTCAGGATATCATGCCTAGGCCCCGCCTTCGCCCGCGTGATGTTCACTGCCTGCGCCGCACGACCGAGGCACGTCGAGCGTCACAGGCCCCGCCCATAGGGCACGCCGGCGCGGTGCGACCTCACTGAATCGGGCCATGTCGCTGGCAGGTGCACCTGAGGTGATCCGGGCAGCGCAGAAGGACGATTACTACCTAGGAGGCCTGCGGAGCGCGGCGGGTGGCGCGCTGCACAGCCTAGCGGGTGAGCGCCCTGGGCACCCGGACAGGCAGCAGCTCCGAAGCTCCTTAGGAAAGCGAGGATCAAAACAGATTTACACACTGCAGAACACTTTGCAGGTCTCTGCGCCAGGCAGTGCCTGCTTAGTGTTCTCAAACATTTGCCCATTTCCTTCTCATACGCCCCTATAGGTTGGGCCTAACAGTATTACTCTTACAGGGAGGCACGTGGAGGTTTCCAAAAAGATCCCACAGGCAGGCATTTGAGAGAGTCGAGATTTGATCCTAAACAGGTGTTGTTGGCACTACCTAGACTTTCCTGGGGCCTCCGAAGTTCTAGGACAGTTCCTGACTCAAGACAGTTACAGCTGAGAGGTTCTTAGGAAGTGGCTTTCCCTCTGAGTCATTCCTGTCAACCAGGTGGGGAGAGGGGACAGGGCAGAGAAGCAGAGGAGCCTAAGAGAGAAGTAGTTGAGGGTCGCCCTAAAAGAGGAGGAATTTGACCTGGACTTTAACCACCTCCACCTCACCTGCCCAGAGGTAATATTTTTCTCTTCTAGGTGCAAAGAAATGGCTGGAATGGAGGAAAGAGATTGAACTGCTCTCAGACATAGCCTACTTTGGCCTCACCACAATTGCAGGTAGCAGTACTTGGCAGGTCCTTGGCACTGAGGGGCCCACAACCCACACAACCCACTGATCAGCTCCTAGAATCCACCTGCATGCAGCCTCAGGGAAGAAAGCCACTGGCCCAGGAGGTGCAGCCCTAGAGCCCTCAGCCAGGGGCTAGCACTCAGCCCTCAGCCAGGGGCTCTCCTTGCATTTGTATGTCCCTGAGGACCTTCATCCAGGACTTTTCCAAGGGTGCTGTTGGGACTCCCCACCCCCAAGCTGAGGACCCAACCCAGGGCCTTCCTCTTGCTAGACAAGGCAAGCTCTACCACTGAGCTAAATCCCCAACCCCAGGACCCACTTCTCAGTGGCAAAAGGCAAGTCAGTACTGACCCATCACATACTGGCCATTAAACCCTTGTGAGGTGGACACACAAAAGCTGATAGTCATTTAGAAAGAAAAGCTGTGGTAAGGGCCGCAGGTCACCAGTGCCAGCTCAACATCCAGCAAGGAATGCAGAGCGCCTATGAGATGCCCAGAGAGGTCACTGTGGGTGACCTGCCCCCAAGGACTACACTCAGCCGTGGGAGACACACAGGACCAAGGAACGACGCTGTAACACATCCTGAGAAGTGTTGAGCGCTTCAGGGCAAAACAAGTCTGGGGAAAAATAATCTTCTAGTCAACCAAAGCAAGTAGCCAGTCACTGAAGAGGCCTCTCTCAGGAGAATGGCCTTCCCTTTTTCTGAGCCATGAGGCATTGCAAGATACAAAGAAGAGGCTAACTGCAGGCATGACCAGACACGTTGAGGGCAGAGGCTGCTACAAACAGGATCACAGTGAGACTCATGGAAGAGCAGTTCAAGGTACAACACAGGTGTGGCCTCAGGAGTAAGAGGCCTGGCTTTACTTTCTGCAGGGTGTAAGAAAACAGGACTTTCCCAGGTTGGACAACTAGAAGCTAGCTTTTGGCAGGGGTAGGCTTGAAGGTGTTTTATCTGACTCCATGTGATACTGTCAGGTAAGCAGCTGGGCTTACATCTCAGGACTGAACTAGATCCAGACTGAGCCATAATCTGGAAGGTAGGAAACCACGAGATTGGATCCCATCGCTTGGACAAGTGATAGCGGTTAGGCAGAAGAGGGACTGGAAAACTGGGAACAAATAAAAACTGAAGAGAACAGGAAGCCAGGCAGTGGTGGCGCACGCTTTTAATCCCAGCACTCGGGAGGCAGAGGCAGGCGGATCTCTGTGAGTTCGAGGCCAGCCTGGGATACAGAGTGGGTTCCAGAAAAGGCTCCAAAAGCTGCACAGAGAAACCCTGTCTCAACCCCCGCTCCCCCCCCCCCCAAAAAAAAAGAGAAAGAGAGAAGAGAGCGAGCAGGAACCAACGGGAAACAAGGGCCTAGCCCAGAGTTGCAGTCTGTGTCACATCATGAAATCCCAGCAAGACCACAGTGGACTTAACAGGTCATGTTGACCTTGGCTAGGTCTCACAGGTGACAGCCTGGAAGGGCAGGTTCCAGAGTGACTGATGATGCTGGGGAGGGGAACAAGCTGGGCCTAGAAGTGTGTCCCCGTGTGGGATCCTCATCATTGTGCATTAATCCTCAGGCTACCAGACACTTGGAGAGGAGTACGTTGGGATCATCCAGGTGGACCCATCCCAGCAGCGAGTGCCCTCCAGGCTCCGCCGTGGGGTGCTGGTCACACTGCACGCTGTCTTGCCCTACCTGCTGGACAAGGCGCTGCTGCCCCTGGAGCAGGAACTGCAAACCGATGGTGACAGTACACGGGCTTCACAGGGAAGTCTGCTATCTGGAGGACGCAGCCGATCAGGGGCAAGGCGCTGGGTGCGCCACCATGCAGCCACCCTGACGGAACAGCAAAGGAGGACGCTCCAGCGGGCAGTCTTTATCCTTAGACAGGGCCTTGCCTGCCTCCATCGGTTCCATGTTGCTTGGTTTTATATCCACGGTGCCTTCTATCACCTGGCCAAGAGACTAGCAGGGATCAGCTATGTAAGTAGCAATGCCAAGGGGTACTGGATATGGACAGGGTCCTCTGAGCAGCCTCCTTGAGGCCCATGCTGATGGCATGATCACAGCCAAGTGTTGTTTCCAAGTTGGAAGTGAAACCCTGCACTTGGGAAACAGCAGTTTGTTCAGTTATAGTTTCCTACAAGGCCCAGGAAGTCCAGTTTCCACAAACTGAAGGTGGAAGGAAGTCTTCCCTTCCTAATACCAGCATATGTGTGGCAGCAGAGCCAGGCACTGACTGAGTGGACTTAGGTCTGGCCCCACAGTTTTCTCACTGTTGGCCCGTGGCTATGTCCATTTCACTGCTTAGGGGGATGAGCACCTATTCCAGAAGGTGTCAAGTGCAGGTTCTAGCCCAGAGCCTGGCTTTTCCCATTCATCTCTGCCTCCAGTTAAACTATCCCTCCCACACACCCTCATCATAGAACCAGAGTCTGGTCTCAGGTTTGACCTCAGTACTGCTAGACAAGGGGTTATCCAGCAAAATCTTCCCAGCAGTCATTTAGTTGAGCAGCTGTGCCTCCCTCCCTAATGGCTACTGAATATTGGACACTGGGTTCGCTTTTAGGGCCTGTTATCCTGTTTTCCTGCTCCAGCCCAAGGCATAATGTGTCCTGGTGTCTTGCCAGTAGGAAGGGATAGGAAGTGGAAAACAGCACAATTGTTGTGATGTGGATGGAAGGTACATCACTAGCTACAGCAGATGCGAGGGCAGTATCCCTGGGGGCCAAAGTGTCATAGAGGACTCAGTAAAGGGAACAGCATCTCCCTGTCCAGGTTCCCCTTGATATTCCCCATCCTGTTCTTCCTCAGGCTCCTCTTCTTCCTCTGAACTGGTCCTCAAACAGCTCAAGAATCCTCACCCATTTTCCTGACCCATCTAGCCTCCTGGCTCAGTTCTCATCTAATGCCTAAAGGTCAACCTATAGCTAGGGTTCTCCCTCACTACTGACATTTGAACCCACCTCCCTGGTTGGTTCTTGTTCTCTGGACACTCCCAGTGCCAAGGGGAGGACTGGCTGAACATAAAACCTCCAGCAGAAGAGACCAGATCCTGGGGGATCCTGATGGTGGTGGGGGTGGTGGTCACCTGTCTTTGCAGCTCCGGACTCGCCGCCTGCCTGGAGAGGACCTGAGGGCTCGTACAAGCTACCGACTGCTGGGACTCATCTCCCTGTTGCATCTGGCACTGTCCATTGGGCTGCAGTTGTATAGCTTCAGGCAGAAGCAGCGAGCTAGGAAGGAGTGGAGGCTGCACCGCAACCTGTCCCACCGCAGGTGTGCAGGGGGCTTCAGCTACTTTGGCATGTCCTGAGATTGTGAAAGGTGCACTCACCTGTGATGTGTCTTGACCCCCACAGGAGTTCCCTGGAAGACAGAGCTGTTTGCAGAACCCCACTATGCACCCTGTGCTTGGAGGAACGAAGACACTCCACAGCTACACCTTGTGGCCATCTCTTCTGCTGGGAGTGCATTACTGAGTGGTGCAACACTAAGGTATGTATGCTCCCAGGCCTTCAACCCTTGGCAGTTATGCTACCCCACCTCTCAAACCTGTCAACTTGGGGATGAAGTCCCCAGTCAGAAGGGAAACTTCCCCTTTTGAGGTGTGACTGAATATGCAGGTGATTGATAGATAACAGGTGCATAGATCAGGCTACACTTAACCACAGACTTGTCTTGCTTCCTGGTATGCTCAGCACACTTGGGATGCTGGGACATGTGCACACGCCAAATTGTCCGTGTGCCACTGAACCATTTCTGGCAGGGGAGATGCCCAAAGCACACTGCTTCCTATAAGCAGCAGGGCCCTGGTTGGCATGTCTAGCCAGTGAGCTGTAGCCCTGGCCAAAAGCCAAGGCTACAAGTGAGAAGGAACTTTATGTGGCTGCAGCCCTGCTGCTAAGAGGTGGGCGTCCTGGGCTGCAGTACAGAAAACACAAGCATTCACACTGCTAAGTCAGCAGTCTGCATAGTGGGCATTCCCCAAGTGCCAGCATGTGTAAGTGTGGAATGTGTGCCCTCCTTTCTCATACAGATGGCAGAACAAGTCCTATCTCCTAACAGCAGGGTGCATCTAGAGTTGGACCTGGTGGAAGTTCTACAAGAGAGAAGCTAGAATAGCATACACAGTCTGAAGTCTTTTACTGATGGGGTCTGAAGCCCTCCCCTCTACAGCTCTTGGCACAGGGTTGCTGGGAAGACATGTAGAGGCTCACTCAGAAGGAAAAGCCCAGGAGAGGCCCCAGAAATCCAAGGTTCATAGGTGAGGGTGGGTGGGCACAGCTATGCTCAGTCAGCACTGTCCTATGCCTAGCCCCACTAGGACTCAGACCTTGGGAGAGGCCGTTTTCTGGTTGACTTACAGCTGTGCGTGTGTGTGGAACAGGAAGAGATGCAGTGGGGATCAGGGCCGGACTCAGTATACAGTCATTGTGACACACCCCCCCACCCCACAGACAGAGTGTCCCCTGTGCAGGGAGAAGTTTCCACCCCAGAAGCTGGTCTACCTGAGGCACTACCGCTGATCATCACCAAACAGCTCTAAGAAGTGGATGGAAGTTCACAGCGTTTATCCTCAGCACTGTGATTGCACAGAAGTATAAAATCCTCACATACTGTTCTTTGTTATGTAAGCTACTACAGTTACCTGGGAAGAGAAAGGGTCAGGGGCAAATGGGCAATACTCCGTATGGGGTAGGAGAGTCTGTTGCCCCTTATCATGGCTTCTTCCGAGTTTCTGGAGGTAATGGGTTCCTCCTCCCTTCCCAAGCCACACAGATGAAAACTGCTTCAGAAGTTGGGGGGTGAGGAGGGTTAACTCAGGCCTGTGTGAGAGGCAGGGATGAGAGTTAGGGTAGAAGAGAAGCACTGCACTGTGGGCTCCACACCAACCAAGGTCCGCACTCCTAACACACTTGCCACATGCTTATTAATACATGTTGCCAACTCCTTAAGAAAAATGAAGGTCTTCATCTTGGCCTATGGGTAGGAATGGGGGCTCCCTGAGTTGCAGATTCTTTTAATTGTATGAAAGTTCACACATGCCATGGCACATGCACAGAGATCAGAGAACTTGCAGGAGTTGGTTCTTTTTGTCGAGGTTTTCAGGGAGTAAGTTCAGGTTGGGCTGGGCATCAGCATCTTTACTTTTGAACATCTCACCTACCTGGCAGAATTGGCTTGGAAATAAACCAATTTTCATGTGTCTCAGATACCAGTCCTCTGAGGAAGTTAGGTGAGTCGTATCTGCTTGGAGGCCTAAATGAACAAGTGTGACCTGCTTACCCAATGTCACTTCTGTGTCCAGCTCCCTCTTGGCTTGTCCCTAGCTTGTTTCTTGCCTCCATTTGACATTTCCAAGCTTTTAAAATTAATTCATGTCAAAGACAACCTGGCACATCTTTTAAGAGACTTAATTTCACAGAGTAGGTACATTAAGAACAGATCTGCTGGGGCAGTGGTGGCGCTCGCCTTTAATCCCAGCACTCGCGAGGCAGAGGCAGGTGGATCTTTGTGAGTTCGAGGCCAGCCTGGTCTACAGAGCGAGATCCAGGAAAGGCGCAAAGCTACACAGAGAAACCCTGTCTCGGAAAACCAAAAAAAAAAAAAAAAAAAAAAAGAAGAAAGAAAGAAAAAAAAAGAAAAAGAACAGAAGATCTAGCTGGGCCTGGTGGTGCACACCTTTAATCCCAGCACTCGGGAGGCAGAGGCAGGCGGCTCTCGGTTAGTTCAAGGCCAGCCTGGTCTACAGAGCTAGTTCAAGGACAGTCAGGGCTACACAGAGAAACCGTGTCTCGAAAAGACAAAAACACAAACAAAAAACCCCAGGAGATCTAGAAAGACTTCATAAAACAGTGTGACGGTGTCCTGATAGAGCCTTTGGTCTAAAGCCCAGCCACCAGCAGTGGTGTTTGATGTCGCAATATTCCTTGTGAAGTCCCCTTACCAAGAGCAGGAACCATCCCTCTGGGTGGAGCAGGGGACCAAGACTGACATAAGGAAACTTTAGGGACCCTGTGGGAACCTGGAACACAACTCTACAGTTGTCTGCACTACCCCATTTGTAACTCATTGCTCTGGCCAGGTACTCCCAACTTTCTTTCCATTGTACCTTGAGCTTAGTCAGTGATGAGGAAAATAACGTGGAAAATATAAACAAAAATGTCCATATTCGAACCCCAAGTGTTCACATGGTTTAAAACAAAACAAACAAACAAACAAAAAAACCCTTAGAACATCATTAGAAAATGATGGGTTGAGTATACGAAATGTGGCTCTAAAAGGAGCATCATAGTGTCAATAAAAGAAAACCCAGGTGACTGACTTATTCAGCACCTAAAACTGTAGGATGGATGAGAAACACCACTGAGTAGGGTTCTGAATAGGTCACAGCCTGGAGAAAAAGCCTACTTGCACTTGACAGCCTCTGTCCCCTCTATACCTGCGGTGTTTGCTCTCTCTCTCCTGGTGCCACTTGGTATAATGGTTCCCCTCCGACAGCTGTCAACAGCAAGCTGGGCTTCAGCAGAATGACTATGGTGTAGACGAAGACTATACAAGCAAGGGACACTTTCTTTAATAAAGTTGGAATTTAAAATTCACTTAGTAAAATGTTCAGAGTATTATTTTTATGACATCAAAAAGTCTGACATGCGGGGGGTTCTGTTTTCCCCACAGACGTAAAAGGCCATGTGACACCCCAGACCTGGTGTGCTCTGGCTAGTTCTGTTTCCTTAGAGAGGTTGTTGCATGAGAACAAGTTTAAATTAATCAAAAGAAAAATATGTTACGTATCAAAGGAAAGTGTCAAAATAATCTCAAACAATTAAAATATAATATATATTTATAATTCCAGGCCCTCAAAAGCAATCATGGTAGTTAAGAACAAAGTTTTGAGTCATTATGATAGAGGCCAACTTGAAAAACATCTCTAGTGAGATGAGATTCAGAAACTGGCATGAGAACCCCCCAGAGCTACGTGAAAATCACCCTCAAAGTGTTACATTCGTTTTCACAGGTAAGAAGCAGACTGGCACAGAGGAGTGGCCTCAGTGTGGTCAGGAAGGCAGGGCTGCACTCCCATCCTCCCTCCCGCTCTCCTGAGCGGCCACCCACCAGGCCTCCCAAGCCTCTGGTTCACTATAAATCTGTCCACTTCAAACACATGAACATCACTGAAAAAGAAATTAATGCAATTTGGTTTAAATGCCAGTTTCCTCAAGAACCTGATATTTCAGATACAAATCATTGAGGCTCCTCTTAAAAAGAAAATTCAACTTCCTCATAATCAGCTACTTTATGTGAAGAAAAAGGCATTGTTACAATGGCTCAAAACCGTTCTTGAACACGTGAGACAGATTCAGTCCAGCTTCTAACTAGCAAATGTCTTGCCCACGTCCTCCTTCCCTTTGTATCTCCTCTTTCCGTGTGTGAATGGTATGTACCGGTATTTAATCATGTGCTAGGAAAACAAACACAAAAACAAATTGAGTTACTTCCAAACAGTTTCCTGCTCAGCCCTTTCCTTAGATTTGAACAGCCAAAGGCACCCCCTCGATTGCTTCTGCCTGTCACAACTGAAGTCAAGAGGCCAAAATGTGCTCCAGAAGTTCTGATCCACTAGAGGCTTATCTGAAATCCCAACATCTGGAAAGTATTTCATGACCCTCTGTTTACAAAGAGCTAAGGGAAGCAGAGAAGGGGTTCAGCTACACCACCAATCTGAGGATGTGCCATAACACTCTAGCAGGCTACCACAGGACCTGGAGCTCTGAGCTAGAAAGAGCCACTGAGGTACTACAGGCCCAAGCCCAACCTGGCTCTACCCAGGGCTTTCCTACTCAGCTTCCAGCAACCTCAAGGAAGGCCCACTTGTTCTCTCTCACAAAGGGCCTGTAGTCTGGGACTCGTTGGCCTTGGCCAGAAGCCATGCACAGATCAGTCATCACACACAGGAGGCAATGCCCAGCACTAAGACCTAAGCATGCTTTCCCAGGGATACTGCAGTCACAGGCTGGTAACCGTCATCTTGCACAGCAGGGCTGCTATCTTTACCTTTATTTGCCTCTTCATTGTGATACAGAAAAGCATGATGAAGTACATCACCAGGATCGGCCAGAACACTGGGACGTTAAAAGCCTCGAAGAAGGTACAGACCATAGCCACAAGAATGCCTTTCGTAGCTGCATGCCTTAAAGCAAAAGGAGAAGTTAGTGTGATCTGTAGGTAGCACCAGGCATCTGTCAACTTGCTCTGGCCTCCACAGCCACTCCTGCCTTTGCCTGCTCAGAGGTACCTACTAGAGAAACATCAGAGTAGTGTAGTGTCAAGTCACAGTCTGTGTGTGCTATACTGAACCACAACCAAGTCCTCCTCTTAGCCTTTTAAAAGCTAAGACTTCTTAAACTTACACAAAGTGTAAAACATCCCAGCGAAAGCCAAATGTACCACATGTCTTCTACCTGGAACTGCCATCTGGAGCACTAACCGAGGCCTGGGCCTGACATACAGCACAGTGCCCTCCCACCCTCGCACACAACCCTGCCACCATCATCACACCTCTTGTCAGGCTCTATAATCCTGAAATCCCCACAATCTCTTCTTTCCCTACAGAACAACATCCAGGTTCCTTGGGGGTTCCTTGCCCACCCTCAATTTCCTCTCCAGATCACGTCTCACTCATATTCCACGAGTGAAAACACTCGAAGAGCTCAGTTGCTCATTCAATTTACTGAGCCAACAAAGACTTTGGCTCTTTTTGTGCTCCAGGAGCAGATGGTCTGAAAGACAGGCCAGGAGGCCATAGCTTTGACCTTTTGAAAGACAGTCATAAAAGGAGCTACACTACACTTACTGCTGTTACCTTTTCGATTAATGCACACCACATGCAAACAAAGCACAACAAAATTCTCGTTTTGTTAAGAAACCAAGAACTAACTGGGACAAAAATTGGTTTATTTTAAAAGCCCAAGTAGCTTCCACAAAAGTCTTGAAGAAATAAGGTATGATTTGGTCAGGAGAAATGATTCCACGTGAAGACAAGAGGGTAAGCAGTGAGCAACAATGCTGGCCTTCTTTCAAAAGACCTCTAACCCTGACCATTACACAATGTATGTGGACCAAAATGTCATTCCATATCCCCATATATGGACCATTACTATGTGCTTATAAAAATTAGGTATATATATAGATATATTATTTTATTGTTCAATAGAAAAAAATTCACTCACCAAAATTTGAATTCTGGAAGCCTTCGAATGAAGGGACGAAACTCCTCATTCTGTTTGGTTGGTAATGAAGGGCCATCATCTGAAAGTTAGAACGTCAGCTAAAGATGAAACATCTGCCTCTTACTTTTGATTGTTGTCCCCACTTATAAGTCTTCCTTAAATGCTTATGAACTACTATGCCTCACACATGGCAACAAATTTTATTCAACCAGAGATAAAGTGTGGGGTCTGCAGGTAACTCTTGGCAAGACTTGTTTTATAAAAGACTTGTGCACCTTTTAAATGCATAAAAAAAGAATTCAACTTCACACAGATTTTTCATTTGTTGTATTACATAGTTATATAAGTTAAGACAAAGATAAACTGACATTTATGTAAAACAAGTAGTAAAGAGAGAAAGTAGGCCACATAGTGGTACATGCCTATAATCCTAGCACTTGAGAGGCAGAAGCAAGATGAGTTCATGGCCAGCATGGAATACACAGAAATCCATTATCACAATGAAATAAGAAGTGTCACTGAGATGGCTCCGCAGATAAAGACATTTGGCTGACAGGTCAGACAATCCCTGGAATCCACATGGTAGGAGAGAACCAAATTCTGCAAGTCCTCTGACTTCCACATATGATACACACATTAAAAAAAAAAAGCTGGGCGGTGGTGGCACACTTTTAGTCCCAGTACTCGGGAGACAGAGGCAGGTAGATCTCTGAGTTCAAGGCCAGCCTGGTCTACAGAGCAAGTTCCAGGACACCCAGACCTACACAGAGAAACCCTGTCTAAAAACAACAACAACAGAAAAAAAAAAAAAAAAAAAAGAATGCAGGCAAGACTGTCCTTGTCCACAAAACCTATGGAGGAGAGCCTTTGCACCAGGACTACCAAGTGCAAGGCCTCTTCTCGTCTATCCTATTTTACAGAGAAGCTGAAATCTACAGGAAATGCTCCTGGTTATCAAGTCTCCCCTAAATGGTGATATGCTTCTAATCATCCAATCTGAAATCAGCATTAGAGCATCTCCTCCAAGAAAGCAGAGTTCCTGCAAAGGCCACTGTTCACTATCTGTCAACCACAGCCCAAAGCTGGCCTCACTTGGGGACAACATAAGCCCATAAGCCTGGCACAAAAACACACCAACAACATTTCAACTCAGAAACCAGGGAGTACCCAATGCCCTCAGCCTAGACTAGCTCCTGGCAACCAGGGTTCTACTGATCTGTGCTGCATCTCTGCTGTACTTCTCTGGTCACACCAGAGGGTGCCTAACAGTGAATTCTGACGCAGGAAGCAGAGGAGCAGACCCTCCCTGCTCACGAGTCCCATGTGTGCAGTGTGACTCTGGATGTGTTATTGAACCCAGGACTTCGGTCTCCTCCTAACAAAACGGGGACAAAGAGTGAACCTCTGCATAGTTGCACGGGTTTGACGAGTAATCCTATAGACAAACTCGTCCTGATCCAGACACTGCACATATAAATATGACAAGCTCAGGTCCAAGTGTTCCCAGACCCATGGACTATCCCAAGAATGTAGAGGCCTAGAGCAGCCTGGACAACACCCCAACGGCCCCTGCTGTACCTGAGTCTTCCATCAAGGAAGGATCCACTTTGGGAGAAAGGAACGCTATGAAAAGGTTTAGGTGGTAAATTCCCAAGGCATAGGTCACAATGTACCATCCCTGGAAGAGAAGGAAAGCCATCATCAATGAGCAGCCCAACCACTGCCAGCTGGAACCAGTTCACTGAGACTGTACCCAGGAAGCCTTGTACTATGAACACGGTTTACTCAAGGTGAAGTGGTTAGGACTGAATGCACGTTCCACAGTGACCATTTACCTCAACTTACTTACCTTGTGGGTTTGATATGACCATAGCGACCCACGGGCCCAGGTAACAAACTTCTTTAAGGGTCCAGGCAAATGTGCATGACAATCAGCCACAGTCCTGACCAGGACTGGCTATAGCAGAAAAGAAAGCTTTCCTCAACAAGACACCGCCCTGCCCCATAGGGCTAATGTGGGCTGGGTACCTGTGTGATTTTCAAGTGTACTCCTGGCCTCAAAACCTGCTGTGAGCAAACAGGTTCACAAGGAGTCTACAACAGAGTGTCAGCTATGACCACACACGGCAGCTGGCAGTCCATGTGGACAGCATCAAAACACTCCACTTGGAATGTCAGCCTCACAGAAGAAATCCAGAATCAGAACCGGGAAATCAGAGAAAAGTGCTGCTTGTTCGTTCTTTCCTTCCTTCCTTCCTTTCTTTCTTTTTTTGGTTTCTCAAGGCAGGGTTTCTCTGTGTACCCTGGCTGTCCTGGACTCACTGTAGTCCAGGCTGGCCTTGAACTCAGAGATCTGCCTGCCTCTCCCTCTG